CTGACGACAGCTGAACCTTAGTGAAAGGAAAAAAAGTTACATCATTAGGGGTTTTGTTTCCACAAGAACCAATAAAAGCAGAACAACAGCATAACAATCCATTTTACCAAGCCAAAGAACAGATTACAACGTACCTCTGTAAAGCCATCTTTGAGGGGACTGAGTGATGCACTAGGCAACTGTCCTGGGAGAGAAATTTTCTTTCCCTCTTCGAATGGGCGTGTAGGTATCCTATGTAAATACCCATAGCCAATGCCACATCCTAGGCTTTTAAAATATGAACATTTAAAAGTCAGTGAAACTACTTAAGTAGTGTAGACCCTACAACAAGCAATGCATGAATGGCTCGAGATGCCAACATGTTTCAGTTAAGTTCTGTACAACTGTATTGTACAGGGGAAAAAAAAAAGATAAATATTGCCTCATTTTCTATAAAGAAATAATCAGTAGTAGATAACTGAAGGGAAATTCTGTAGCTGTTAGCAATAACTATGTAGCAAAAATAAGCTTTATTGTTATTTGGACCAAGCATCTATACAGCTTAGAATTCAACTCAGGCCTATAATTTGCAGTCTTCTGTTCTCGCTACTGCACAATCCTTTAAGGATATCCTACAGTTTAACAGCTACCTGAAGTCTAATGCAGAAAGCAATTAGTGCACTTTGTGTATTTCTGAACTAGCTAATTTACTGAGTAAATACTCCCCCACACCTCCACCCCATTAGTGACTAAATCTTATTTTCAAATATATTATCTGCCATACAACTGTCATCTTCCGTCTTTGTAGAGAACTTATTCTAGCAGCTTTCAGGCTAGGACTGTAAGAAACAGCCTTTTTTCCTCCCAGATAATATATTGTTTCCTTACCTGCCTTCTCCACCCCAGGCAGAATTTGGAGTAATCACCACTTCCCGACAGTTATCTGTGTCTGTGTTGTACACGTAAAGTTTTAATGGCTTCGCTTCATGTGTTTCAATAAGGGAGAAGAGATCCTCAGACTGTAAAAGAATAACAATGCCTAAGCGGTTTTTTTTTTCCTCGTAATTTTTGCATTTGATACGTGAATGATCATCTTCCTAGTCCCAGCCTTCTGTAACAGAGCCTGGTAGCTGCTAAGCGTTTGTTGCAGTGCTGCCACATTATCATAAGGACAACTTGAACACTGTGCTGTGCTAACAACTCAGAAGACACATGGCACCAGCCAGATTTTGAATCTCTTACTTGAAATTTTAATGTTAAGTACAAAAATAAAAGTTCATATCTGACTACATAAAGAAATTTAAGAGCTTTTATTTCCAGAATTGCATTTAAGCACAATGAAGAAGCACTACGTCAAAACTCCTTCCCTTCTGCATGAAGTGACTTCCATTAGCACTGAACAGAAGCAGAATTTGGGATGTTTCAAACTGCCCTGGTACTGTTTTTTAGTTTAAAAATTTAAAAACCTTATTTCTATATACCTACCTCATTCATGACAGTATCTGCTCCAATGATATAGTCACTATGAGGTCTAAGTCCAGCTAATGCAGCAGGAGAATTTGGTTCCACTTCCTAGTTTTAAGACGGAAAGTTACAAAACATTAGACAACTGTCAGGGTATAGCAAAGCGGTTACGTGCGCACTTCATAGAGGTTCTGATTCACACATACAAACCGGTCAGGTTTTTAATGCAATTCGTAGGACAGTCACTGAACTCGTAAAATGGTGGCTAAATGACAGTCTCTTTAGCTACTGTTACAGGAATTCTGAATATTGTATAACATCACTGATTTCAATGCAAGATTTGATAATATACTCACAGGTATACAGTTATATTTTAAAAGTCTTTCTGAAAACAAAGTCAGAAAACAGACCAATTTGAGGTCAAAGCTTATGTACTCCCATGCAAGTTACTTTTCAGTAAAAAGACTAAAGACTTCAACAGCAAGCAACACATTTTGAAGCAAGAAAATTATCTGAAAGTTCGTACGCACCAATACATGCCATACATTTTCGTTGGCCCCATCAAAGCTGCAGAAACGAATGCTCACTCCCAGCAGGCCCTGCCCACCCCACATGTTGCTGGGGGTCACCGATGTTTCTCTTAGTTCCAGTGTTTTGCTACTGTACACTAGCATTTTTACAGGTTTTTCAACATTCGCTTTCAACAGGTCCTTGAGAGTGTCATTGTCTTTATTCTGCAAATGTTCGAACAAAAACTTGGTTTAGAGTGTTTAAACGCAGTAAGGGTCCAGTTTTATAGCACCACTTTTGTATTTCAAAGATCCTATAAACATTACTCACTATCAGAATATATCCCTACAGCTATTTCATAGCAAGCTTTCAGTCCCTTAGCAATTCTAGAATACCACTTCAGAAAGAGTCTTGAATTTCACAGTAACGAGTCTTGCTTTCCAAATATAAAAACACATTTAATTAAACCTGTGACACGACGTGCGGGAATCTGACATTTAAATATGGAGATATTCTTAGTTTGCCATTCATAAACACAGTACCTATAAAAAAGTTCATATCCAAAGCAATAAACATTCCTTACATCCAAGTAATCATGACAGGATTAATGTACTGACACATTAACTAACCACAGTAACTTGCTTTTTTGTTACTCAAAATGTAGAGCAACAGCACCTTTTGGAACTACCAGAAAAAGGTGACAACAAGACCAGCCAATCATACCATCTGAAACGGTGTTTGCCAGTAGATACTGGGCAGGCCTGTACTGCAAAGGGGAGCAGAGGATAGGGATTGAGCTCTCCCTATGAGCTAGCTCTACAACTAAAAGCAGCGCACCAGCCCCACATGGGGCCAAAGCTAAGCTGCACTGCCCAGAGATACCTTGGTTACAGGCTCAGTTACACCACTTTCAGGCTCCAGGTTATCCTTTACTACAGTATCACTTTTTGCACACGGCTATAACATGTTGCTCTGATTTAGCTTAACAATTCTAATGCAGTGGTGCCTTGTACCATTTAGACACAGACCTGTTCATTCAAAAACCATATAGGACATTTAAGTGCAATCCAAATCCTTATTTTTTTTAAGTAATTCTTTATTATTAAAATGCTAGAAAATTGATCTGAAACATCAGCTTTAAAAAATTTATTTCATGTATAGCAACAGAGTCTCGGAAGTAGGACTTCAGTCAAACTCTAGCATTTTCCGCTCCAGAGTACTGAAAGATGAATTAGACTATGACACATTTTTGCAGGCTCTAAAACATTGACAATTACTTTTAAAACATATCTCTTGAAATAAGCTCCTGATACTAATGACTTCAAGTCTTTTTCCTTAACTGGACGCCCCCCCCGCAAAAGGACTACCACAATAAGCCTAAGTGCTCACACATTCTCCCATGCTTGAAACTCTGGGTTGAAAGCCTGTATAAATACTATCTCACCATCATGTGTTACAAACACTGGGCAACAAGATAAATGCTGTTAATAAAACCTTCCTTTTAGAAGGCTCATGTCCTGTAGTAATAACAGCAGACCATAAACAGCAAAGGGGGAAAAAATAGGAAAAAAAAAAGAATCAAGGAATTTCCGAGTTAATCTGACTTCTTCAGAGACAAACTCTGCTTTGTCCCTTGCGGTAAATACTCTGTTTTTGCTAGAGAGGTGTTGAGTCCAAATTTCAGATACGTGAGAATTGTACCAGATAAACAAAACATTTCTACTTCCTATACTATCTCTTTCTTTGGCAGGGCAGAAGAAACTATGATCAAAGCTCAGGTGAGTACAACTAGGCCTTATTCTTCCACCTTGACCAACTCCAGTGTTAAAAGGTCTTTTGAAGTAACTACAGGGCCTGCTTCATATGCCTCCCAAACCCCAAATCTTTTCAAGGAGAGTATTTCCTTAGCAGAGATGAGGATAAGTCATCACATTCTGAGCTCTGTCCACACTCTTAGACCTGCCTCGAAGCTTTGTAGAGGCTTTCCTGAGTCCAGCTCTACTGGTAGAAGAGCCTACCCACAGCTGTTCTTTGCCGCTGCTCTGGCAGTTTGCTGTCTTGCTAAAATTCAGCTCAAAAAACTTTCTCACGTGATTCCTCCCCAACTAACAGCTTTGGCAACACGTCTTTCAACCAACCTGTTTCGACTGAAATGAGTTCAGAAGTGCTCACACAAAACAGTTTTACAGACAGAACTAGAGGGGAACTAACACAAGCAGCTAGAGGTGGGTCAGCAGGTACCGGCGCGGATGTGTGCAGAGAACATGTCTGTCTGCATCCTTATTCTCCACCTTAATTTTTGATAGAAATATGAATATAGGGTGAAGGAAAATGGTTTCTAATGCAGTTAGGCTTTCGCATTTTAGACTAAGGACAAATATTTTATATACATTTAAATAACAAAAATGCATTAGTTTATCTTTAAAAATAGATTCTCAACACGTAGCTTGTATTCAGTCAGCATTATGCCATTATAAAAGAACTCCACACTTACCAATCTTGAACCATTTATAGATACGATAAAATCAAAGAAGGGCTCCAATCCAGCTCTATGCCCTGGTGAGTTTTCTTGTACCTATCAGAAAGTTAAACAAGGATTTAGCAAGAGCGTACCAATGCTGATTTCTAGATTAGAACTACATTTCTACTTGTACAAACCGTAGTTCTAGAAGCTACTGTTGTTTGTACATATGATTTCTCATGCTCAATATGATATTTTGCACTAAAAACCTCTCCGTTAAAATAGACTGTGAGAAGAAAAAAAAGTTCTTTTTTTTTTTTTTTAAGACCATTAATTTATTGAGTAATGAAACAACAGTTGCTGCTCACTGGGACAAACACTGGCAACAGATAAATTGTAGATACTTGTTTCAATTAAGGACATTACAGTCAAACTGCAAGCTTAATGAATTCTGAAAAAGCTGGTCAAAAAGCAAAATATTTCCACAAAGATTCCAACATTGGACCTTATTTTTTACCTTATTCTTATTAGAGGACAAGCAGAGTCACATCTGTGTAAGCACTGGTTGTCATCTCATGAACAAACATCACCTGTGGACATTCTTGAGAAACAGAGGGCATTGTACAAGCTATGATTCATTAACACACCAGCAAGCTGCAAGGAAACAGGCACCGGCAATTCTGCAGCCACGGCAATTCAAATAATACAACCACTCCACGAGGACAGAACCTAAGCAGCGGACATACATTGCTCCCAGAAGCTACACGTCTGCTTGTAATTCCAAATAGAGTAATTCAGAGGGGTATTTTGCCAGCGTTGTTTTTTCACTATTATATGCATTGCCAACAGTAGCTCCAATACAAGTTCAATCAATCTTTCCCTATAGCCGCTGGAGCAAAGAATCTCTTCCTTTACTTGTCAGATGATTCCTTTTACCCATTGGCTTTTTCCTTTTCATGCTATATTCACGTTCCAAAAGATCTACAGCTGAATCCTTTACAGCGGGGTTTCTTACGTTATGTATTATTCTAGTCAGATAGAACCAGTACAAAACAGGTAGTTTGCTCAATGCCAGTCTGATTCTGCAGAAATTAACTTTTCTTAATACGACTTGTAGGCTTGACAACTACAAAGCCTTCCTCTTAAGAGTCCATTTATCTCTGCCTAACATATTCACGAAATTAGAGCCTAAAAAAACCTCCAGATGACTTGAGGGTAGTTTTCTATAACGGATGCCAGAAGCCTTGAATATTAGTGGCACATAATGTAAACATTTATTAAAGGATAATCTGGAATCAGTAGTTCCAGAGTCACATGCATTGACAGTTGTCAAAGTTTTGTTACGCAGCAAAAAAGTATAAAATTAACATTAGCCCAGTCAATATCATCTAAGCAATAAAAAACAAGGTAGGCAGCCATAACATCACAAAACCCCCCTTTTAGCACTTCTAACTGGAACCTGAAGTGTATCTACAGAAGTGAGTCTTCAAAGACACCTGCATGCTCCTTGGAAATAGTTTTCTGTACTTGGGGATGCAAATACTCTCTACAGGTAACAAGAATTAACTGCTCTCAATCACCCAAAGTAGCTTGCAGTCCAGCTAACTAAATCCAAAGCATTGCCTCCATGTCACTAATTCAACCTGCTGGTACAAGATACCTCTAGCCAAGAATAACTAGAGATAAAATAGCAAGCTGTATACCAGGTAACAGGGTAAAAGTTCGAGCTAAGCTCCGTGTAGCAGCCCCTCTGATATTAGTTGCGTGGGAATTCGGGGCACGCTATGGACGTTGCTTTTACTTTAGTGGACTGCACCTAGAGCTACTTAAAAATCACATATTAAAACATTCAATAATATAGAGCTACCCTCAGAGCAGTCTCTGCAAGCAGAAACTTTAGCTTATGACAAGTCACAAAGAGGCTAAAAGACACTGTATATGTAATTTTACTCAAATGTAGACAGCACTTACTTGCTATTTAAGTTGGGTATTAAAGGCTTTCCTGCCAAAACCATTAAATAAATGGTTTCACAACAGCAGAGTTAAGGAACTCCATTTTCCTATGGATATGTTCCATAACTGCTTTTTCAGGGTTGAAGCTTCTCTTGCAATCAAGTGATTCAGATAGTTCCTCTGAGGTACCTTCTCTAGGACCTAATAAAGGGTGAGCTTGTGCTGTTTGTTGCCTTCCCCTCAGTTCAGAGAGGTGATGAAAAAATACGTAGTAGTCTCTCTCTCTGTCTCTCATTACACCAGCCACTTCAGGTGACTTATAGGAATTTTTGTGTTTTTAATGAATGTGACATAAAGACTTTACACTTAAATGAAACTGGCAAACAGTTTTAGAAGTTATTGAAAGAACAAGAATTGTAAAGACAAAACATGTCCTGGTAAACCTTATTTCATTAAGGAGGAGCAGAACCAATAAATTGATACATTTATTCAGACAGCATATCAGATTGTTAAACATGGATACACCTCATGGCCTTGAAATTATGAAAAGCCAGACTTCAGCTGCAAAAGCAGTCCTGACATGGACTAGTGAGCATTCAGAGATTTTCTTCCAGATCTAAATGCACAACCACCAGAAGAACCCCAGACCCGCCTGCCACAATATCCCTCGCCACCAACTCACACATGAGAGGTCACATCCTGAACATTGTAAGCCAACAGCGATCAGCGTTCAATAAGGTAACCTTGTAAAATTAAAAGGAGCACCTACGATAAGCAAGAAGTATAAATGCTCAGCATCCGTCAGTGTCATGCCCACTGATTCCCGCAACGTACAGACCCGGTATTGTAAAAACTGTGTTTAGAATCTGTCCAAAACCGAGGAAGTGACTGTAAGAGTTTCCAAATTCTAAATTAGTTTGAAGACAGTTTCTTCGGATGTAGAATATCTTCCCCCAAAGCCATCACAATCCTGTACACCTTTCCTTGGGCTATTTGTAAGTGAGCGTGTAAGGACTGCCAGGAAGCTACACCTGAAAATAATGAAGCTCTTGCAGTTGCGTAAATCACACAAATTAATACATGCACCTCAAAAGTGTGGAGCTGCATGCTTTGTTATCACAGTTCCTCATCCTGTGATGCACAGCTTCAATCACAACAAATTTCATATTTCCGTAGCTTTTCTAGGCCCAGCTTCACTGATAAAAAAAATTTTATGTTTGTCAGTCCCAGAAATAAAAACCAGAAGTGCTGAGTTCATTCCACATGAAAAATCTCCTCCTTAAAGAAGTGACATGCTCAAACCTGCACAATAATGACACCAACACCAGGCAGCTTTTATGTTATACCATCATATTTTCAGCCAGCTAACTGCACAGTTCTCTACCATCAGGCAGTGCCAAACACACAACACAGCTCTCCCAAGAACTACAGCAATGAAGGGTAACTGGGGGTCTTTGGAAACCCAAGGGCACAAAAACCTTGTTACTAATGACGGAAATAAAGATTCCATTTACTAATATATAAATTCTACGTCTCCTGAGCGATCTGGCTTTATGCAGCTTTTCTATATCTCCCAAAAAAGCGTTCTGTAGCCTGCCTTTGTAACTGAGTAAGGACTGAGAAATAATCAAGTAGTCCAATTTACAACAGATGCTAGTGCAGGCAAGGAGGTATCATTAATGGCAGCTTGGGAAGCCTCACTCTCTCAAAGCCAGCTGTTATTGCAGACATACAAGTTACAGACACCGGTGGGTAAATGCCATGACTTTCTAATGGTAAAGAAAACCAGTGAAAGAGCAGCTGTGGAACTGCCACCACTAGAGGCTTTAAAGAGCAAACAAAAACAACCCCAAAATCCACACTCTGTGAAGAATGGTTTATGTACAACTGATCCAGAATTTCAGCAGGGAGAAGAGGGCTGTATGACCCTCTCAGCCTTATATAATTCTGTATTCAGTTTCTCACTAAGACGAGAACACTGGGACACACAGCAAGATTGCTGAGCACACAGCTTACTCATCACTCAGTTTCAGTTTTAATTCACTTTTAAGAATTCAACAGGGAAAAAGTTTCAAGGTCAAGACACTTTAATTTTCATCTGTATTACTAAAAAGACTTAATTTTGGTAAATAAATAAATAAATAAAATAAAATAAAATCATAGTTTCTCATGGCTGAGCACCTTTCCCACACAATCCTTCTAGGGTTACCTGTTACACACACTAATAAGGCTGCTCAGCAACATAATGGTCACAGTTTTAACTCCTGACTAAGAGCAGTGTTATGGCACATGGAACTAGACATGCAAACCCTAATTTTCAGAGGCTCTAAACTGCCATCAGTATCACTGACATCTATGGCAGATGAAGGCTCTCACCACCTTTGAAAGTCAGATATCTTACAGAAGCATCCACTTAGACTTTTAGGAGCTTAACTTCAAGCATGCAAATTTGAAAATTTGTATCCAAATGAAGATCCTGTTGCTGTACTGAATACACCACTTCCTGGGACCAGCAGCTCTGAAGTATTATTTTTTTGTCTAAATAAGAAATCCTTCTTAAATAGCAACTTCATTAGCAACGAAATGTTGAAAAAAATTTTATAGGTCTTGTACATACTTTGTAATGGTGATAAAATTTCATTCTGCCTTATCTCTAAGCAATTTGTCTATTAGGTCCAATAGAATCAATTTTATTTGTCAACTATTTAAATATATCACACTGCATGGCTGTACTGCATTTATGAAACACCCTGTTTTCCAGAGAAAAAGCTTTAAAAGCTTTCTGTAAGGAAACACACCCCATACACACAGCATCAAATTTCATTTTAGCACAAAGCACTCACACTGAGTTTTTTTCAAAAGGGAGCTTTCCTTTATAAAAGAACAAACCTCTTTACGGCCACAGGCTTGCATATCTACTGCAACAAACAAGCACTCCAGTAAAAGTTAGAAATTTAAATCTTGGGCATCACTGTTAAGGTGCCTTTTTAGGCAGAAGAGCACATAACACAAGGACAAACACATTTCTTGACAATTTCTCCAAACAACAAATGACTTAAGAATTTTTATCTTCAAGTCATTACAACAGCCTGTGCAAACTTCAGTAGTTTTGCATTGCTAAACAAGAAAGTTATTTAAAAGTTCACCTCATTCTGTTTTGAAGAGCAGAAACAAATAGATTTTGAGCACTATGTAGAGGCAAACAATTGCCTAATCAGCCACACAAAACACAGCCTGAGAGGTACCAGCTAAAAAAAAAGATTTATCAGCATACAAAATGAATCAGTAAATGAAAGTCTAACAGCAAAAGCATGTATGATAAATAAAAATGTATTCCTTCCAAGAGACCAGAGCAACAAAACAGTCTGCAACTCTGCTTCAGTGTCAATTGGTATGTATTCTTATTACCTGTTAGAATTATCTCCATCTAAAAAAACAACAACAAAAAACCCAAACAACCCACCCCAAAACAAAACAAAAAAACCCTGTCTGGTGGGGAAACAGTTTGTACAATCTGCAAGTCTCACTTGGAGAAAGCTGTTACTTGTAACAGTCTCAGTTCACTCATCCTCTCTGACGACTACTGCTTGGCTCCTAGGGTCATTCTAAACAAGATACTTCATTTATTTTGTGGCCTTTTAACACCCGTTTTCCATTTATCTCCCTACTCAAACATTTGCTCATTTTAACTTAACAAATACATTCTTCCAATAACTTAAAAGATTTTCTGAGTTTGCTCTAGTTTTTCCAAACAACTAATGAAACCTTAAAGAACTATCCACAACATACACTTTACAGAAGTTTGGTTTTATCAAGGAAATCTGACTTTATCTGAATCAGATTTCTAACACAGACTACTGCAGCTTCTCCTTTCACCATTCTCATTTATTCTGATTGAAATACTGAGCTCAGAAAGAAGTCTACCTGAGTATAAATTTAAAGAAAAGGACAGTACTCCTGGACCAAGTTCTACAAAAAGTTGGTCCAGACAGAGCATTTGTGCAGAGCTCCTCTAACAGTGTGAGCTGAACGTGCTTGTCTCTAACAAACTCACTGCAGAATGCAGACTGTAAAATTAATTTCAGAAAAAATTAAAGAAGAAAATTCTACTCATTTGTATATCATATATTTTTCTGCATAAACATTCAAAATTATAATTGTGAATGCACACTCCAAGCTATATAAAAAGCACTGAGCAAGTTCATATTAGACCGATACTCATGATGTAATTTAAGGTGCCTATCCACAGGAAAAAAAAAAATAGTTGCTCTTTGTTGCGCCATCTGAAGACATCATGAAGATAAGGTAGTGAAAAATAGAGACATCAGTCTGTTTTATCGTATTTAATGTAAATACAGCTGTCTCCTCAGAAATCAACTTCTTTAATGTGCACCTGTCAATTACATTTGCATGTTTGGGTTTGGTCCGAACATCAATGTTTCCTTATCAAAAGCATCATGGTACAACTAACACCCGAAAAATGCCCTTTCATCGTGTTGGTCTACATACATTTGTAGCGCGCTGCCAGTAAGCTAGATCAAGTAAGGAAGTGTTAATTCACAAGAGTGAATTAACAGTGTTTTAGAGCTCTTGCATACTTCTAATAGGTGAGGTTAACTAACGCTAGTCAGACAGCTAATCAGAGAAGGCCAGATGCCAACAAATAATTCCCCTGGTGCCATGTCTACAGTAAAGGTATTCATGCTCTGGCTACAATGGCATAAATGCTGTGATGGGGACAAGGCCAAACTAACCCTAGCAAAGCTACTGTGCTGCCCTGTGCATTGGATTCAAGGAAAACACTCAGGTACCATTCTGCTCGCTGCACGTGGAACACACGCTAGAGAAGGGACTTCCAAAAGGCAGCTCAGAAGACCTTTAACTTAGCCTACCAAAGTTTCTTGTACACTATTTGCCAAACAAAGGTATCGCATTGTAAATAACTTTACAGAGCTCTTCTCCTGAAGACTGTTAAACAGTCCTTCAAGAACAAGATTAGAAAGAATCTCTAGTTTTGAACATGATGCAGTAAAACAAACCAAACAAAAATCAGAGCGAGCATATTCTAATACGCTAGGTTCAAAACTGCAGTGGTTCAGAAGGACCTCTGCAAACTAAAGTTTCTGTTTGAAAGGCCAGACAGATGGTCAGAATATCGCAACAGCATCAGCTATCTCATCTTGTCTGCCATCCTAAGTACAGTGCATCCTTAAGAATCTTTCTAACCACCCAGAAACTGCAAATCATGCAACTCCTGTATTGCTTCAGGATTCCTAACGCAACATGTCTCAAGTCCATTAATTTCAGTTGATCTTCTGAAACGGTAACAAGAAGGCAATACTATTTTTGAAGATACATTCTTCAGGTAAATAATTTATAAACCCATGAATCACAGTAT